GTGCAGTCTCCAACGGTACGGCGGCGGCTGTCGCGGCTGGGTGGCCTGCGCTCACCTACTTTACAAGCAAGGCTGCCTTGAATTCTGTGACGCGCATCCTGGCCCGAGAGAACCCTCATCTCCTTATCAACTGCTGCTGTCCCGGGTGGGTGGATACGCCGCTAGGGGGACAGGCGGGGATGCCCCCGAAGACAGTGGGTACGTGCCTACTAGTCCTCCTCACGCTGACGATATGTGCTCCGGGGCTGACCCAATTGGCTTTACACAGAGGAAGGAGCGAAAATTCCACTCCGGCTCGGGTTCGGGGAGATTGGACATGTCAGTGGGCGATACTGGGCGAATGACTCGGTCGCGGGGAAGGGAGACGGTAAGGTCCAGGACTGGTAGCCCGCGGGGAGGCCGGGTTTAAGGCAGGAATTCGCGTCTCAATTGTGTCTGATTGGAGTCTTTTCCTGAACCCGATGCTTTTTTTTACTCACGCTCTTTTGGATAACGTGGTAAATCCGCGGCCACGAGCCTTACCTTACGAGGAGGATACCGTCGGAGTCTCGCTAGAATGCTATCGTATACTTGACATTCCAGATGTGAGAATATCTGCTAAGTTCTGACTTTAGATACAGGTAAAATGATCGCAACCCATGACCCCACCGATTGCAGCTTCCACGACTGCAAACGCATTTATCATCAGAGTTCCCCGGCAGAGGCATAATAGCTAAGCGGTCGCAAGGCTCAACAGGCGCTGTTCACCTCCCAGCACCTTCTCAAGGTGGTCCGCATCCAGAAACGCCTTGGCCTCAACAATTTTCCCTTCCTCATTCCAGCGACAGTGCCAGGAGTAGTGCTGTGTATAGGGAACGCCGCTTTTGGTTCGGGTTTCCACCGTCTTCATTTCAATCACTGACCATCCATCCTGGCCCACAATGACGCCAGCCTCCCCCCCGGGTACCTCGAGCTTGTAACCTGGATCCGCGAGGAGAAGGTTGATGTTGGCCCAGGTGGCATCGTAATAGTCTTTCTTGGTGGTCCAGGTACCGGAGAATCGATGCTGGCCGGTCACCTGCCAGTGCACATTGTCGTCGACATAATCGAAGAACTTCCTCGTGCCCTCCGGGGGGTCGAAGAAAAGACGAAAGACGTCGTAGATATACTTGCGATCTGGGTACGGCATGTTGCAGATGGTGAGGGGAAGCGTTGGATGTTAACAGTTGAAAGGCTTGTTTGACAGAAATGACACGGAAAGGATGATCGAGGTGATTCGAAAGCGGTCTTTCCTCCCGTCAGGGGCTCTATCTCTATATAACTAGGTGCTTGTGTCAGTCTTCCATGGCAGTGCCTGTACTCCGGCCCCGAAGACATTGCGTGCACGCCGGTCCAACCTCGACTATCGTGGAAGCCCAGGAGGTGCGATAGCCACCTCGCCGTGACCACCTCTACGCTCTAGCTACGAAGCCCATCCTTTCTTACGAGGTTTACCACCTGTTGCTGAACAGGGGACTTTAAAAGCTCGCCAACTCTCTATCTCCTCACGAAAATAGCAGCCACCGAGCATATTCGATGTTGAAGGTCACCATTTACTGTCTATAGCGTGTCAAACTTCTGGGACTCGGTCAGAGTCCCTAACCACTCCGCCTTGCGCACGCAGTAATACTCCAACCCTGGTTGCCAGCTCTGTCCCGACTGTAATTCCATAGTTCCATAGGTAAGAATCACCGCCCCTGGAAACTTTGTTTTGTTTTCCGCCTTGACCGGGGAGCCACAGCTCGGGCAGAAGGACCGTTCGACGGTGGCCCCCGAGTCCGTCGCGTGATCCGCGTAGGTTCGAAGCGTCTCAGCACCCCTTGTAAGGATCAAGGCCTGCATCCGATCTCATTAGTTAAACCCGAATGGAGGGAAGGACACCTGGGAACATGCTTCGGAGGGGTACCAGCTGTTAGCCATGCCCACGGAGCCGGTCGATTTCCGGCAGTTGTTGCAAAAACACATGGCGGTATTGATGGGTTCGCCGTGAACCTCATATCGAATGTTTCCGCACAGGCAGGATCCGGTGATCATGTTATTCCGCTTTTGTCGTTCGTTCTTGGGGAGTTGGAAGTGGGGGGAGATGTTCACTGCGTGGGTTATACTTATATGGCTGCAATAGGAGGTAGGTACCGACCTACGTATCAACCAGTCCAAGCTAAGCCCAGCAGGCGGCGGGAACTTATCCATAGACTAGTACTACGGATGTCTCCGAAGGCCTGAGCCCATGGCGGCCAACGATCAGTCGTCCACCCCTGCAGGGCGGGCCTCCATGGCGAATCCCCGCGCGGACCGGCGTACGCCCAGCGCAACAGCGGGCGAATATTCGTCCGAGAACCATCACTTGGTCCGTTTTCACATACCAAACATCCTGCCAGATGTCTCCGGACCGCCTCTCCCATTTCTAATCATGGGAGATGGGCTCGATACATATACGAATCCAATCGGTTGGGAGATGGGATAATGCTATTGCGGTCCGCGAGCTTCTCTCATCACCTGGAGATATGGCTGACCTTTTGCAAGATTACGAGAAGAGCCCCGTCGGAAGTGACGCCTCGTTTGGCGAAGACGAGAAGCGACACATCGTAGGGGTCAAGGTACGTGTCTGGGAGGCATTCTCGCTGATTTACTCAGTTGCTCACTCACTCACCCATGTCGATGGAATCTCCCAGTGGTTCGTCTTCGTCATCAGTACCCTGACCGCGATCTTTGTCTATTCACTCGACAACACTATCGTGGCCAACATTGCACCGGTACATCCGAACTCTTCCTCGGCCCGTCTGAATATAACTCATGTGTACTAGACGATTGTCAATCATTTCAATGCGGTGGAGGATCTACCATGGTTGTCGGTTGGGTATGTGCTCTCCAAATTCATGAGCTACAGCTTCGCAGACTAACGGATCCTCCTCATTACAGGTTTATGATCGGGGGGATGGCAATGGTGCTTCCTTTCGGCAAGCTATACGCCATGTTCGATTCCAAATGGGTGTATATCGTGTCCACGGTCGTCTTCATGGCCGCCTCGGCCTTATGTGGTGCCGCTCCTACCATGAACGCAGAGATTGTGGGACGCGTTTTCGCCGGGGCCGGGGGCAATGGCATGTACTTTGGCCTGCTAGCTCTGCTGTCGATGAACACCACCAGTCAGGAACGGCCCAAATATCTCAGTTTGACGTGAGTGCTCCGTTGACGGTGACTTTTCCCACTCTTCTATGACGAATTAACAACAAACAGAGGCTTGGTGTGGGGTCTAGGCACGGTGCTGGGGCCGGTGGTGGGCGGAGGGTTTGAATTATACACCTGGCGCTGGGCCTTCTACATCAACCTGCTCTTTGGAGCCATCCTGCTTCCTGCCTACCTCTTCGTCATTCCATCCAACGATCCGCTCCCCGGAGTGTCCGTGTGGCAGAAGTTGGCGAGGTTCGACTGGGTGGGAGCCGTACTCAGCGTGGGGGCATTCACCACACTGGTGATGGCGATCAACTTTGGTGGCACGCTGTATGCCTGGAGTAGCGGTCAGATTATCGCCCTCTTTGTGGTGTCGGCTATCCTATGGGTTGTCTTTGGCCTGCAACAGGCCTTCAATATTCTCACTCCAGGTCCGAATCGAATGTTTCCCATGCATCTGCTTCGTCGGAAGGAACCGGTTCTGCTCTTCATCTCCTGTGCAGCTGTGGGTGCCGTCGCCTATGTCAGTGTCTACTACATTCCCATCTACTTCCAGTTCACCCAGGGCGATAGTGCGATTAAGTCGGCTGTTCGGCTCCTGCCGTTCATTTTCCTTCTGATTACCAGCATCCCCGCCAGTGGAGCTGCCATGTCTCGGGTCGGATACTACAAGCCCTGGTATCTTGGAGGGAGTATCATTGCGTTGATCCCCGCCATTCTCATGAGTAAGAGTCGCCCTCATCTCATTACAGAACCATCCAACTTATAGCCCATCCCAGCCACTATCGTCAAGGCACATACCTCGGCCGGGGTCATCTACGGACTGGAGGTGGTCCTAGGTCTCGGGGCCGGGGCCTACACGCAGGCCTCATTTGCCGTAATCCAAGCCGTCGTACCCCCGGCTGAGGCATCCAATGGCCTAACGCTCATGCTTCTAGGTATGTGCTCCGTCTTTTGACCCTACCTGTCCACTAACGGACCCGTGCTGTTTCTAGCCCAGCTAAGCGGCATGACGCTGGGCCTCTCGATCAGCGGGGCTACCTTCGTCAATGAGGCCCAGACCCAGCTGTACGCCCTGCTCCCGAACATTCCTCGTGCCGACGTCGGCCAGATCGTATCAGGCACCAGCAGCCAAGTGCTTGCCTCTTTGTCGGATACGGTGCGCGAGCAAGCCTTGAACATTATTGTGTCGGCATGGCATAACACGTATGTTGTGCTTTTCTTGCCCCCGGCTTGTGCCTCGGTTCCTGAGTTAATATCTACAATAGGTTCATCTGTGTCTATATCGGTGCGGCAGTGAGCTTAGTATGTGCTGTTTTTATGGCGGTAGGTTTCGACTCTCAAAATCCATACTGCGACGTGCCAACGCTAATCATTCGCACAATCCAGCATAAGCGCGCCAATGTGACTGCCGCTGCAGGGGGGGCATAATTCATTGCAGACAGCCGTTCGGTACTGGTTTGGTTCTCACGTAGCATGGATAGGTGTTTTCATTTCTCTTATATCTTCGTCGGCATAGCCCGGTCATATCAAATTTCAGGATCTAATTGTTTTTAATAACCATGTTATCATTTCCAACTTACCCATGACATATACATCTTGGTATACAGGCAGCTGAGCGTTAGATGTCTTTTTCTTTTTTTTTTTTTTTCTTTTAATCTATTACCTCTCTGTTTCAATCTCAGTAAACCCATTGTTTAATACTCAAACATGATCAGAACCGAGAAGCCAAAAAAAAAAAAATCTACCAATAAACAGATCACAGATAGAGAGAAAAGAAAAACAAAAAAAAAAAAAAAAAGAAAGATGAGGGCCCGAACCCGGGTTTGAACCGGGGACCTCTCGCATTTTTATCCCAAAGCGAGAATCATACCTTTTTGAGGAGTTAGCGTCGGAACGGGAACAATTATTGCAATTGAGGATCTCTTACCACTAGACCATCCGGGCGATTGTATGATGTAATGCTCTTGCTTTTGAAAATTGATGAACTGAATTTCTACCCTCATATCTATGTAAATGGGCGTTAGGATGTTGAGAGTGGGGGAAGAGAGGGTTGTAGGGACGGAGTAAATACTACTAACCGGAGGAGGAAGTTGTGGTGTGCGAATAAGGATTATGCAAGGAAGGCTTGGGTGATTGATTGAATGGCTGTTATGCTAGAGGTGTGGGCGTCTTGTGTGTATGTATGGCTGGATAAGTTCTCAGGGGTTGGGCTGGCCCTAGGACTGATGGAAATAAAATCATAAGTAGAATTGTTGATCGTAGTCATCTCTAGCGTATTTATGTTCATTGGAAAAGCTATTTATCTGGTCCTTGAGATCCGTATGTTTTTGCTGATAATATTTGATATTGCTCACTACTAGTTCTACATTGTCAGCTGGGTAGACACTACCTGAGGATTAGGGAGCTTCATGAAGACTTCGGGGCTTTTATTTTATAGTATTGTCGCCCGAAGACGGAGATACTTAAACTACTACTAGGGGATGTGTGAATGTTGGGTCAATTTTATCAGTCAGAAAGATAGTAACGAGAAGACAAGATATTAGAAGAATAAAAATATAGATTAGGACTTAAGTCACGAGATGAGGGTTAGGGACACCATACTATAAGACCCTGATTGTAAGACAAGGCGTGAGAGGGATACATCGCAACATAGTATGAAGACACTGGAAACCATCGGGGTGCATTAAGCGCTAAAGGTGATAGTAACGTACAGTCTTTACATATCTGACCCAGTGGATGGCTCAAGAGCCCTCCTGTTGATTGTGACTCTTGAACTGCGGCGCGGTCTTCATGGTCACACTGATCAGGTGGAGCCATTCACCCAAGAACTAATGTGGAATGGCAGTGGACGGTACGAGTCGAACGATTCTCAATTGATCACTCTCTCTGGATTGATCTCTCATCAACGATACGTCTCCCTCTGCCGGACCGTGGAATATCAGTAGGTTCCATGGAGAAGGAGTCATCGCTCCAATAGAAGCCTCGAGTTATCCCAGCTCTGTTAATGTACATGGCTAGGCCGTAGGCGTTTACTCTGCCCAACGCGATAGCGTAGTTTTCGCTGTTAAGATTGGTTCGTTGACAGTCTAGCTCCGCAGGACCAACGAGGAGGAGTACCGAGGCGGTTGAACCTATGGTATGACCAAGATCACTTTTGGTCACAATCACGTACTACATACACTGGAAGTTGACAGCCTCATAATACCCAGATCATGATCGCTATCACACATGCAGGCGGATTGGAACTATTGCCGGCTAATGCACCGGACAATTCCCTCATCCCGTTCGGCGGTAAATCCACAGGCCATGTGGAAGGGATAAAGGACCCGAGTCTCCCGATGCAAGGCTACGGAATTATGTCACATCCGTCGGCTATGGGATCATCAGAGGGCCATCAATCCTTCCACGACAGCAAGCACACATGGCACCCTCTCGTCCAATCTAGCCGAGGAGCTTATCACACGCACGGCTGCCTCAGGCGGGGTAATGGAACTATCACCACGCCATTCTGGAAGCCGCCTCTCAGGAAGGGGAGTCAACCGCCGTGCGCCTGCAGGAAATCAATAGTTCCTGCAAGGTCTTATCAGTGGAGGCCAGCTGAACTGCAGTGGGCCTCGGGGATTGATGGTGCGTGATTTTCGAGTGGGATGATGGAGGTGGACGGAATGTTGAGCGGTAAATAGACCCAAAGGTGGCATGAGTTGGGACTGATCTTGAAAGGCATAAGGACTAGTCCTGTTGAAAATGGAGGTAAAGCCGTTACTGCACCGTCTGAGAGATTCTGATCGGACCTGGCGAGAAAAAAGGGATCCGGCGTGGGCATGGGATGGCCGGCCAGTCCGCTGCCCTGAGCCGTGCCCAACCCGCATAACTGGCTGCACGAGCCCGTCACACGGCACACCGCGGGCGCTTAAAGTTATTTATATCGAGCCCGCCATTGGGTGCCATTCCCCCGGATCCAGGTGAATTGGCAATGATTGGTTCTCGTGTGCTGCGTGCCCGGGAGATTTACTATCCGTGGAAATCCCAAAATAGCGCAAAGAGGGGGTGCTGCAGCACTAATTTGTGGAGCGCACATCGCAAGGTTGGCACCTCCGCCGGGCTTCCCCTCTTTGGCGTCGGACAGCGGAGGGCGGATGGAGGATTTATTCTCCCCCCTTTCTCCTCTTTCTTTCCTCGTCCACAACTTCCAATACCTGGAGTTGAAGTGGCTTGGCTACCACTGTTTCATTCTTTTCCTGTTGTCAAATATTACTGTGCTGGTGAAGCCTTCCACCATGGGTGTCATGCGTTTGCCTCGCCCTGCCGGCGTGTATGTGCCAAACTCTCCCATCCGGAGTCTCACGAGCGAAATGATCTCCTCTCCATTATCTCCAGAGTTTAACTTTGACTCGGAGACTTTGACCCCTTCCATTATTCCCGCACTCGAGTACGTCTCCTCCAAACTAGAGCAGCGGATGATGCACGTCACTCTCCTGGTCGGCCGTGGAAAGCCCTACCCGACAGGCCAACCATCCGATCTCATCGTCATCCCCATCACCCCACTGGATGAGACTGCCTGGCGGATCGTATACCGCACGGTGGCCAAGGGAGCCAGCAAATTCTCCCTCGGCCCTAGCTGGACCGATGCCCTGAATCGCAGCCAGCATGAGCGCCAGGCCCACGACTACCTGATTCAACAGTCGATCATGCAGAATGAAGTGATTTTCAGCCGGGAGGGTCTGACGCTGCTGAACGTGGATCGCATCTATACCCTCAAGCGCCGACTGTGCATCCTTTCCCACCGGAGCATCCCCCCCGAAGAAACCTACATCACCTCCTGCGCCCAACTCCTCCAGCGTACTATCAAAGACTTCCATGGCCGTCCCTTCAGCAGGGGCTTCTTCCACCGCGTCTATGAGCAGCTGAATGTGCCTGACGACCTCCTCACCCAGGTGGCGACCTCTTTCAGGACGCAATACAAGCAGGAGGGGATCATTATGCCCCCTCGGCCAAAGGCCGAGCTTGCTCGCAAATCACCACTCCGCGCTATCCGGGCAGCCCGTCGACAGAACCCCCCGCCGACGAGGTATAACCTGCCCACCAAGCGAGGACCGAAGACACCGCTGTCTGCATCCGATGTGACTCCGATCACTCGGAACGAATGGAATATGCTGGTCAGAACGGACTTTCCTTGTGGCAAGGCGACCGTTACCAAGTGGACCCCATCGCCAACGGTCATGGCTGCCGCGTGAATTAGCATCTTGATCGCTTGGCAACATGTCAGGCCGACATAACATATCCTCATCAGAGGCCTCTCTGGCTCTGAGACATGCACATCAAGGCAGTTCCTTACGAGGACTCCCGCAATCCACAGGGTAAGGATGCCTATGAGCCGAGTGTGGTCGTGCCGAGTATGCTAACCCAGCAGCGCAGGGCCCATTCGACTCCACTCTTGGTCGGAATGCCCACTGCCAGCCATCATCGATGCCGGCTGAGTGGAGCTATCCGAGCGATGTCGGCAAACCGGCCAACGAGGTGCAGGGGCCACTCGCGACGCAGTGATTCCCGGGTTCTACCTTGGGGAAACTGCCTGTGAGCATGGAAAATCTTCGCAAGGTCGAATGTTTACCCGCAAACGGACCTGTGATTTAGATTAATTTCGATCGGGTGCAGAGAATCACCCTGCAGGAAAGATCGAACGCATAGAGTCGGATGTGTACGATAGTTTGACATGAAATGAATGACTGCTCCACATGCAGTGACTAGACCACTAGAACGTAAGAGCCTAAGAGGGGTAGAAGATGTGAAGTAGAAGAAGCAGAAGAAGAAGCGGGGAGGGTCGGCGACCTCCGCCTCCAGAAGCGGGCGAGTCACGTGGTGGACGTCTTCCAAGGCAGAAAGGCATCCTGTAGGTTGCATTTACCTATCTTCGTTAGTTATAAGCTAGGATACCGATCTATTTACTCCGTCTCTTGACTCCTAACCACCCCGGCCCTCCCCGATAATCCAGCGTTGAGCAATCAGCAAAGGGACCCTGTGGGGGACAGCGACCGACCCCGATCCACTGCAGGACTCGACAAACCGGCCTTGGAGAATTAATGCCTTGACGCTGGTCCTCAGTTCGTCAGGTCGGATCCACCGCTCGGTTGGCATTGATAATTCGCCCGTCTAAATTTCTTATAGTTATCGCCTGCGTGCCTTATCACGGGCCTTCCCCTCCACGGCCCAAAAAAAAGTTGACGTTCCCCACGGCACATCCCCGACCGATGATAAATCCGCTATCTCAGCCACTTCATCCCAATCAACCCAATAACTATCTAGATCCCTTGACAGATTTAGAGTCCCTGTGGCGGTCATTCCTCAACCATGCGGGACTCGACCTCTCCCACTCCCGACGCGGACCATGTATCCGAGGGCAACACCCAGAACCATGCGGCAGGTAGCAAGTGGAAAATCAAGTCACTTGTGAGGCAGGCCGAACGATCGCATCGTCGATTGCCGGGGATCAGGAAGGTTCCTTTGCCTGCAATTGCCATCATTCTATTCATTGCGTTGCTTAATGTTATCGTGTGGGTTGCCGCTGCAATTGTGCTGGTATGCATCTTCCATCGCTGGTCATCTCGACCGAACATGATTGATTTCAAGCCAGGAGCTAACAGGTGTATAGCGTTACCATCCGTATGTCTTCTCAATATTATGCATTTGGCGATGTTGTGAGGCAGGCTAACCTCTTTTCTAGAGCGTTGGTGTCCAATGCCGTGCTGTCCTATACTCTGGGATTGAGACATGCCTTTGATGCGGATCACATCTCGGTAGGCATTCGATATCCCCATTGAGGATTAATCTAATCGGTATTTCGCAGGCCATCGACTTGATGACCAGAAGGTTACTGGCAACGGGCCAAAAGCCCGTCACTGTAGGAACTTTCTTCTCTCTTGGTCATTCGACGTGAGTTCCTAGAA